AAAATATTGTCAGTCCCTCACCACTGAGAAGTGAAGAAGTCTTTGTGCCTCCGTTGTGAACGTCTGTAAGAAGAGTTGATGACTCTGGGGGCTGACAGATCTGTCTTAACCTGCTCTCCTGGCTACTCCCAGTTGGAAAATAGGAGATGGATTTGTGTGCTGCACATGTGTGCAGCTGGTGAAAGATTTGCAAGGTATTTTCTCTTGAGAGCTGGAGATGGAAAGGGGTGGCTGTAAATGATGCCCTTCCCATAGGCTTTTGGTGAGAATTGTGTATCTCTCTGTCAGAGGCATATTGCATATCAGAGTGTCATAAATATGATTTGTTATTTCCATGTACTGAATTTTCTTTAAGCAAAATAAGTCTGGTCTGGGTTTGGATATTATATGAGCAGAAGACAGCTTCTAAAACATTACTATCTTATTAGAAATTCAGCTTCAAGAATATAAAATATTCGGAATTTAACAGTCCACTGACTGCACACTGAAATAATTTGCTAAAATATCCAGTATATAAAGTTGGAACCATTTAGTTCCTCACATGCATTTTAGTTTTATAAGCTTTGAAGTTTCTGCTAAATACACGCTTTTATTTCTTGTTATTTTAAGGCAGCTAAATTTGATTATAATTTTTTCCTTCAGGTAACATTCTGAGAAGCAAATATTACAAATAAATTGTGAATGTAAATGAAAAACATTACACAGACTTTCATCATTACCGAAAATATGCCCCTAAGTATATTTCCCCCTTTTTTATTATTTTTTTATGCTTTGGTGTTATGTTTTTAAATCATTTTATCATTTTCCTTCCAAAAATTCATCAAGATCCATGTATATTAGTTTGAATTTGAATTTCTAGATGAGACGCTAGATCATAAGTGTTAGAAAATGATTCCTTGAAATTAACAAGAGCATTAGGATAGCATCATATTTATGCTGTGGCAAGAAATCTGACATCTTTTCTGTTTGCTTTTTTTGTGCACATACCTTTCCCTCCATCCCACAACACACATATACACCCTTGTACCAAACAAAAAAACAAAGAGTCTGGGAGCCTTGAGATAATCTTTGGCCAATAATAGAATTTTGACTGTTAAATATTAGTGTACCCCATTTAATAAATGGGTTCTGATTCCTTTTTGTGAATTTAAGTTCCATATGTCATATTTAAATTTTATTCAGAAGAATTTAATTTTTAAAATCTTTAAAATCGTATGCTAAGGAAAAATGTTATCTAATATAAATAATCAGTGAATCATTTGTGATTCACTGATTTATATAAATTTTTATAAACTTGCACTTTCCATTATTTTATGCAAGTGTACCAGGTTTTTAAGCCTGAGCTATAAAATGAAGACAAATCAGACATGAATTTATACTTTACAAAATAATTGCAAGTCAGAAGCATCAGAGGCACAGATTTTAGAAATCAGATACATTGAGTTTAAATTCTGACCCAGCCTGAGCAAAATATATAATTGCTTTCACTCTTGGATATCCATCCAAGGAATGAGGATATTACTTAACTGAAAAAGAGTAGACAAATAAATATGTAAGTTTGTTGAAGAATGTGAAACTTTATAAATTTAACAGATTACCACTGGTCTCCTCTTGGTAAACAGTTCGCCTGATATATGAGAAATAGAAAGTATATAAAAGGGTATGTAAAAATTTTTGGATTCCAAAAAGACTTCAGAAAATATACCTTCATCTGGAGTATAAACTAGTTATCAAAGGAAGTATGAAATGTGCTCCTAACTTTTAGAATCTTGAGCTTCTACTGGTATTTATTTTACACTCTATATTATTTAGAGGGGATTCCCAGGAGGCATTGTGGTAAAGAATACACTTCCTAATGCAGGAGACTTGAGATGTGGGTTCCATACCTGGGTCAGGAGGATCCCCTGGAGAAGGAAATGGCAACCCACTCCAGTATTCTTGCCTGGAGAATCCCAGGGAGGGGGGAGCCTGGCGGGCTGCAATCCATGGGGTTGCAAAGAGTCAGACAGAACTGAGCATGCACACACCTGATCAAGTCTAGTAAAGAGGTTATCTTATTTTCATGGCCTCATTTTTCTACCAGTATCTGACTCTGTTTAAAAAAAAAATGTGTTTCCTGAAGAGTGAGAGTAATTTATAAAGAATATTCTGAAATAAAATTGAGTAACATTATATAAAGAGCGCAGGCATTGAAATCTACTAGAAGTAGATATTTTCCTCCAAGTCATGAGGAAATAGAACATCTCCCTAAATTTCTATTTTCCTTTAGGCCTGATCACCTTCCTTTCAACAGTTGACTACTTTCTAATAGAAGATTTCCTTTTAAAGCCAGGAGGGATTTAGTCTGTAATAATGATATTATTACCCAGTAAATGGAAAGCAGGCCATAACAATGAATAAAAAATTAAGAGCTAGTGAAATAGAGAGACCTCTTTCTATTTCCTTTTCAGCATCCAGTATCTTATTTGGATCTAAAACAGTAATTTATTGAAACATGCAGTTGAAGCTTTATGGTAGTATGAGAGAGGAAATGTAAGGATTTCATATTATACTCTTACTTTTTGTTTTTATTTCAATTTTGTGATTAAACTGAGTAATACCCATCTTTTCATTTAGGTTCTTCAAATGATTAAAAACCCATTTTAAGCGCATTATTATAGAATACATCTTTAAAATATGTGTATACGTTTATGGGTGTATATATTGGTGTGGTGTTGTTAGTCACTAAGTCATGTCTGACTCTTTTGTGGTCCTGTGGACTGAAGCCAGGTTCCTCTGTCCATGGGATTTTCCAGGCAAGAATACTGCAGTGAGTAGTCATTCCCTTCACTAGGGGGGTCTTCCCAACCCTGGGATCAAACCTGCATCTCCTGCATTGACAGTCAGATATTTTATCACTCAGCCACCAGGGAAGCCCTATACAAATGTATATAAAATAGTGCGGAATTATATAGAGTAGAAACTTCCTTATTGCTCCATACTACCAAAAAAAAAAAAAATACCCTCAAAATCAAAAGAGCCTCTACTTGGTATTATATCCTTTCAGAGATTTGTCGGTCCATGTAACAGTTACTTATTTTTCTGCAACTACCATTTTTAATTCAGTAAGTTTTGGACTTATTTCCCTATCAGGAAAGCCTCATAAACTTGTTATGTTTCCGTTGTTTTTATGTCACAGTCCTAAGGCATTTATTTCTTTGTAAAATAAATATTTATTGACTACCTATTGTTTGCCTGGTACTGTGGACACAGGAATGAAGATGTAGCTCCCTGACCTCAAAACAGACTTACATAGTGAATTTTTGTGTGTGTGTACATGTAAATAGCATGAATATGGAAATACTTTCTACCTGCAAATTTAATAAGTCTTAGACATCCAGTGAGTCCAGAGCTGCTGTATTAGTCTCTGAGGTGCTTTGTCCCCAGATACTTCATGTGAAATTTATGTCTATCAGAAAACCTGAATACTGGTGAATACAGCTTGTTGATTTGAATATAGCAAATAATACTCTGGCGAGATAGTTCATATTCATATATCACCTGCTGTAATACAGATTACTGAGGATGTTTTCCATACCAGATAGATAGTTTTGTTATTACCAGCTTCACCTTGATTAGCTCCTCCTCTTTCTCCTATCTCCAGTTATTCCTGCCTCAGAATAATTCAGTTCAGTTCAGTTGCTCAGTCGTGTCCGACTCTTTGCAAGTCGGACTGCAGCACACCAGGCCTCTCTGTCCATCACCAACTCCCGGAGTTTACTCAACACATGTCCATTGAGTCGGTAATGCCATCCAACCATCTTATCCTCTGTCGTCCCCTTCTCCCCCTGCCCTCAATCTTTCCCAGCATCAGCGTCTTTCCACGTGAGTCAGTTCTTTGCATCAGGTGACCAAAGTATTAGAGTTTCAGCTTCAGCATCAGTCCTTCCAGTGAATATTCAGGACTGATTTCCTTTATGATGGACTGGTTAGATCTCCTTGCAGTCCAAGAGACTCTCAAGAGTCTTCTCCAACACCACAGTTCAAAAGCATCAATTCTTCCGCACTCAGCTTCTTTATATTCCAACTCTCACATCCATACATGACTACTGGAAAAACCAAAGCTTTGACTCGACAGACCTTTGTTGGCAAAGTAATGTCTCTGCTTTTTAATATGCTGTCTAGGTTGGTCATAGCTTTTCTTCCAAGGAGTAAGCGTCTTTTAATTTCATGGCTGCAATCACCATCTGCAGTGATTTTGGAGCCCNAGTCAGGCTGTTTATTGTGAAGAATTTAAAGTCCAGAATGTAATTGCATCTGTCTACTGTTCGTGAAGCTTATGACTATACATATAGCAATGACTGCTGCCCTGGTCTAAGATTAAACACCTGCCCAGAGCCTGACACCTGTGCCCCATTTTGGATACTTCCACACTTGAAAAATGCAATCATAGGTATTAAAATGTAAGTGAATAATAATATGGTAAATGATGGCGTGGCATGCAGTGGAATATCATGGTGCCATTTTAACATAATCATGAAGCTCATACAAGTGTGGTTAATGTTCACTGTGTTTCACACGGAAGTATCATATATGTATTCTGAGTTAAAGGAGTCATACCAGGACACGTACACGCAGGCCAAGGGGAGGAGAAGGTGGGCCATTTTAAAGTACTGAAAGTGGTTCTGAATGGAAGACTGAAACATTGAGTTTGAGCTGCATAGCATGGCAGGTATGACCCTCCAGAGATAAGCAGGAGTTGGTTGATAACAAGTCTTGTCTGTGCCATCGTAAACATACATTTGTTTCTCTTCCTAGAAGGTTCTACCCTGTCTTCTTCTATGACTGCTTCAGACTGTGGCTCAACAAGCCACTTCATAAAGGGGCTCCCCAGACACACCCTGAACTCATCCTCATCCACACACACATACACGCTTTCAGAATCTCCCTCCCTCCCTCCTGCCACGGAGGGTTTGTCTCTGTTCACTTATCATACTTGGTAATCATTGAGAATCTCTTACCTGCTTATCTCCTTAATAGAATGTAAACCCCGTGAGAGCAGAGATTATCTCCATTTATAGATCGATGGCTGTTCCATATGGAGCATTTGGTAAATATTTCTGAATGAATGAATCAGGAGTTCCAAGTCTCTCCGCAGACCATTCCTTGCTTGCTCTGAGTCTCTCATGTACAGATTTGGAGTATACTTAGACTTTAGGTTCTGGTCTCAGATGACGGGATGTCAAAGGTTACATCATGTGACTGCCAGTGTGACAGAATGTCTTTGTAGCCTCTGTGAGATTGGGGCTCTGTGTATCCAGGGCCCTGATGTCAGCTGACAGACCCAGGCCACGTGGTTCTTCGGTGGCATGGCCAGGATGAGGACCCAGGGCACTCTGGCTCCAGGACTGACTAGATTTTCACCGCAAGGTCCTGCCTTGCAAGGGATGGTGATGAAAGTGCATGACTCCCCAGGGTTGGCAGTGGACCCCCTGACCCTTGGGGATACAGGGCCCAGCCTAGTGGTCAGAACAGCCCATCAAGGACTGAGAGGTGGGGGGAGGCTGGTCCTCTCTGGCGTTTCCTGCCGTGGCTTCCAGGAGGTCTGTTCCGTGAAAAGCAGGGCTTTGTAACATGGTATATAATCCGTGATGTAAAATAACGAAGTAGCTGTTCAAACTGTAAACCTAAACAGGGTTCACGTGGGAAATTTTTATGTCGGAACTTCCAGAGGACATTTGTAAATGACAGTTTACATTTAATACGTAAAAAGCTTTGAATGCCTCAAAAAGAAGCTCTTAAATGTCTAACATCTAAGAAGAAAATACTCCTCAACTTCTCTAAATTGAGTTGTTCTTTATATGCAGACATGAGGCTTGGAGAAAATCACTTCCTTTTTGTAGTGCATTTATGTTGTAAGGAAAAGTTGAAAAAGTTAATGAAAAGATTAAAAATTGCTTTAAAATTATTCAAAGTTTATTAGAGTATATTAAGTTTTCAGCTAATCAAGAACAAGTTTTACTTCATGGAGTGCGCTCAGATGAGCTATTGTGTAATTTCTAAATGAACACCGCAAGGTCCTGCTTTGCAAGGGATGGTGATGAAAGTGCATGACTCCCCAGGGTTGGCAGTGGACCCCCTGACCCTTGGGGATACAGGGCCCAGCCTAGTGGTCAGAACAGCCCATCAAGGACTGAGAGGTGGGGGGAGGCTGGTCCTCTCTGGCGTTTCCTGCCGTGGCTTCCAGGAGGTCTGTTCCGTGAAAAGCAGGGCTTTGTAACATGGTATATAATCCGTGATGTAAAATAACGAAGTAGCTGTTCAAACTGTAAACCTAAACAGGGTTCACGTGGGAAATTTTTATGTCGGAACTTCCAGAGGACGTTTGTAAATGACAGTTTACATTTAATACGTAAAAAGCTTTGAATGCCTCAAAAAGAAGCTCTTAAATGTCTAACATCTAAGAAGAAAATACTCCTCAACTTCTCTAAATTGAGTTGTTCTTTATATGCAGACATGAGGCTTGGAGAAAATCACTTCCTTTTTGTAGTGCATTTATGTTGTAAGGAAAAGTTGAAAAAGTTAATGAAAAGATTAAAAATTGCTTTAAAATTATTCAAAGTTTATTAGAGTATATTAAGTTTTCAGCTAATCAAGAACAAGTTTTACTTCATGGAGTGCGCTCAGATGAGCTATTGTGTAATTTCTAAATGAATTAAAAAATATCTTTTAGTGCCTGCAGTGTTTTCTAAGGAGGTAATTTTATGCGAACCTGTTTCCAGGGACTTAGACTTTTCTGTCCCTGTATTATCATTTAGGTTGAAAAATATCAAATTCATGGTATGAAAATTACGTTTATTCTTTATAGTTTAATGAAACTTTCTACCAACTTACTCAACTCACTCAGTTAACTATGGAAGGAAAATGATCTCTGTTCTTTTTGTGCAATTAAATTCAAATAAGGCTTCAATTATTTTTCTCAAGCCTTTGTTAGTTAGAGGTGCTTAGTTATATGACGTTGAGGGTAATTTAAATGTATACAGAATGGCTGGATATAAATTTTTCTCAAATTGCCTTGAACTCTTAATGGATAAAATGAAGAAACCCTGCCCCAGGGAAAACATAACCATTTCAAGTTATATTACTCATAAGTACTAACATACGAATTTAGTCTCTGTTTATATATGTAATTTATTTTATGTGCTGCTTTATATTTATATGATGTATCGTGAAATATTGCATATGATATGTTCAGTACAACTTTGGCGTTGGGATTGTTCCAGGGAGCTGAGAGTTTGCTTAAAATTCAACACTGTTTTGTTTTAGACATTTGGAATAGAAGTCTGTCTAAAATAAATTGCCCGTTTTCCTGTCTTCTTAAATAGATTACACTGAGCAAAAACCTTTCCTTGATGAATGATCAAACGATGGTTTATTTTAAGCTCCTTGGGGGCTTAGTTGCTGTCTCAGGGGTAGTGAGATGCCTTATCCTCACATCTGTGGGACCTGTTCGTACGTATAGGTTCCCTGAGGGCGAGATTAGCATTGTGACGGACACCCGGCATGCACACGGTCAATGTTTTTAGTTGAATTAATGAAACTAATGCCAAAATACAGTGCCCTTAGTACCAACTGATACACTTAGGGTACGCTGCCGTAAAATAAATGACCTCGGGCTGCCCTCACTGCTTCCTGTTCGGGGGCTATAATCTTGTCTAGCTCATCCTAGGTACCTTTTCCTTTGGGCATGAGTGGAAAATCTAACTGAGTATCCTTCAGTATTCTAGACTGCGAGAATAAATACGCTGTAAGTAAGTGTCCGTCAGTCTGCATGAGTGCTTTTGGCACATAAATTTGCAGTCATTCAGTTTCAATCACGGAGGTCTGCTCTTCTTAACTTCTCTACCATTTGCTTCCATCCTTTTCTTTCTTTTGATTGATTTAATTGCTCATCATTGGAGAAATGCAACTCAAAACTACAGTGCAGTATCACCTCACACCAATCGGAATGGCCATCATAAAAAAGAAAAATCTATAGACAGTAAATGCTGGAAAGAGTGTGGACCAAAGGGAACCCTCTTGCACTGTTGGTGTGAAGGTAAATTGGTACAGCCTCTATAGACAGCAGTATGGAGATTTCCTTAAAAACTAGGACTAAAACTACCGTATGACCCAATAATCCTACTACTGAGCACATACCCTGAGGAAGCCATAGCTGAAAAAGAGACATGTACCCCGAGGTCCTTTTCTTTTGAGAAATGGATCTGTGAGGGTTGGAATACAGTCATATCCTTTGTATACCCTTGGGGCCAAGTTATCATCCCAGGGCTCCTTGTGCCATCTCCCCACTTCGGTGGGAACTTTAAACGGATGCCAAGTTTCTAAAACGGGAAGCGAGGCCTTGCCTGGGTGGCTTATCTCGTTGCTGCCCCCCTTTTCCGTCTGGTATGCCTCATGTGGAAGCGGAATGCCCGTCTTGGAAGATTTAATGGTGTGCCCCAAACCACCAGCCACAAGAATAAAATTTCTTTGCAGTCTTATATTTTATCTTAAAAAGTTGATGCCAATTTAGAATCTATGCATAGTATATCCATAGTTGGTTAATATAAAGCACTATTTTAAATAAACAGTAAGAAACCTTTACATCTACATACAGATGTACACTTAAGTGTGCATTTTGTTTTTTTGAGAATTACATGCTCACTCTGCACACGCATGTACGCATGCATGCGCGCACACACACGCTGAGTCTGTCTATCTGTCTGTCACGTTGAAAACTTTGAAGATGAGAGGTTTATTTTCAACCCACCAAATCCGAGCTCTTTTTCCCTTACATTCTGCTTGCAAACTGAACAATTCCTTATTTAGCTCCTCTTTTCTTTCCCCTGTGCCTTTATCAGCTACAGAAACCAAATTATGTTTTCAGCATTCTTTCTAGAGATCTTCTTGGCCAGATCAACCAGTTCATTAGGTAGGTTTTTATCTTCCACATTATCGCAGGCAAAAAATGTCATCGGTTGTTTTACCACAACAGGCTGCTGTTTTTCCAGCCTTTAATTACCTCTTTATTAGTTCCCCAGCTTCTGTCTGCCACCCAGTCTGAAGGCTGACTCCACGTGTTTCCAGTGTTGATTATGCGTTTTTCTTACCCGGTTTTATCATGGCAGCACTCTGTTCTCAGTGCAGCTTCTGTATCAGTCTTCACTTTCTGCCGAGTCAGCCTCCCCAGGGTGGCGTGGCTAAAGCAGGAGCTACTTGCTCGTGATTGTGCCTTTTGGGTGGGCTTGGCTGGGCAGTGTTCTGGTCATAGCTGGACCCACTCAGGAGGCTGTGGTCATCTGATGCCTTGCCTGGCTGGGGCTGGAGAGCTTCAGATGACCGCACCCGTGTGTGTGTGGGGGGCTTGGTGCTGGGTCCTGAGCAGGCTTCTCCCCAGGGGGTCTCTCATCCACTGTCTCCTGTCCCAGGCTTCCTTACCTGGCAAAAGGAGTGTTCCCAGAAAGGAGAAGGGAAGGTTGCAAGGCTCCTTGAGGCCCCAGATCTGGAACACACACAGTGTCACTTTGCTGTGTCCTAGTGGTGAAAATAAGTCACAAGGCCAGCCAGACTCAAGGAGTGGGGAATAGACCACTGTCACTTAACAGAAAGGGCTGCAAAATACTGTGGCCATGTTTTTCCAGCCTCCTCCCCTCCACACCCTGCCATGACATACCTTCAGAGCACTGTAGCTGAGGAGCAAAACTTAATCAGTGCTGTGGATCTTCTGAACCTGAGATCAGACTGCCAGGGCCTCCGTGTGATCATTGGCAGTGTTTCAGCAGTTAACATTCAAGAGATTTTTCCATTCAACTGAATCTTTTTAATTTTTAAAAAATATTTTTATTGGAGCATCATCACTTTGCAGTGTTGTATTCGCTTCTGCTGCACAGCAAAGTGATTGAGCTGTAAGTATCCATGCATCTCCTTCCTGCTGAGGCTCCCTCCCGCCTCTGGCCCCATCCCACCCCCTCGGCCATCACGGAGCACTGAGCTGAGCCCCCTGTCTGCTTTACACAGGGCAGTGTATGTATGTCAGTGCTGATCTCTCAGTTCGTCTCCACTTCCCTGTACCACCCTGGGTCCACCTGTCTTTCCTCTCTGTCTGTGTCTCTATTCCTGCCAGGGCTTCCATTTTGCTGAAGAGAAGATAGAGTTCCATTGTATTAGTCAACCACAGTCTTGCATTCTGTCTTCTCTTTGGTAAAACAGAAGCCCTGATGATTCCAGGTTTGCATCTACAAGTTCCTGGGGCTGGAGCTCAGTAGGTGGTGTCTTTTGCAGTTTGTCGCCATCCTCACCACTGACCCTTCTGGTTGACGTGACCCACCCAGCGGCTAAGGCATCTGAACGTGTGACAG